CGTAGCCGCGGCCGCGGCGGGTGGGTGAGGGAGGGCCGGCGGTACGGGGTCAGGCCGCAGGCGTGCGGGGGGGACGCATGCAGAGACAGTTGGGAGGTTGGGGCAAGAAAGCAACTGCGGTGCAGGCGTTTCCAGCTTTGGGAATGGAAGACAGTCACACTGTTAACGGCGGGACCACGGGGAAAGGCTGGGTGGGAGAGTCGGGCCGATGTGGAAGGACAAGTCTGCGGTAAGCTGCCGGCCCATAGCGCCCGCCTGTGTGCCGGCGGCTGCCCGGGTAGTTGGGGAGGGCCGGGCCCTGAGGCCGAGTTCAGCTCCAGGAGGGGAGTTCTGTGCTTCGCTGGGGATGCTTTTGCCAAGTTCAGAAGAGGGGAGGGGCCACACCTGGTCCAGACCCGGCTGAACCCCGGTGCCCTCTTGTCCGTCGCTTCGGGGATGCTGATGTGATAAGGCACAAGTATTAGAACACGGCAAACCTAGACAGTTCCTTTTTCTTTTCCTGGAGCTTGGCTTCAGCCCAGAGCGGTGTCGTCTGTGCAACTGTACGAGCGGTACGTCTGAAGCTGAGGACCTTTGAAAGTCGATTAGTGATGCCAGGTGCATTTTTCCTTGCCAGAAGTGATCAAAAGAACACAGTAATAGCTGTTCAGGTTTAAAAATATAAAATACTTAAGTCATCATGGAAGTATTTTAATGAATTCTCTCAAAGGATTATGAAATGGGCTGAATTATCGTAGAAGCCTGAGCTCCAGCTGGGCAGCTCTGGACCATCTCTCGGGAAGGGGGGGGCAGTTGGGGGGAGCAGCCATCACACCCTTGGATTTCCGCTTCTCAGAGGAATCGGAATCCTGGAGGTTTGGGGCCCCTTTCCCTGTGCTGCGTGGCACTGTGACAGCTGCTTCTGCTGTGCTCATGCCTGCTCATTTCCTGTTTCTGGGAGATCCCAGGCTTTGGGGTAGCCTGTGGCCCCGAAACTTCCATATCACAGTTAGTGAGAAAGGTCTGTGGAACTGGGGATTCCAGGTCCCCTGGGCACGTTCCCTTGGGTCTTCAGCTCTTCCCGCGATCCTGAGCCAGGGAAGGCTTTCCTGGGCTTGATGGGGAAGGGGCTTGGGAGCATTTTCAGAGCCCAGACCTGTGCCTGGGCCCCCTGAACTGAGGGAAAGGCATCTTCTCCATATTTTGGTCAGCTTCAAGGATCCTGACTTTAGGATGGTTAAGTGTAATAAATGCCCTGGTTTTTCTATATCTTGAAATTAAAAATAAACAAGACGAGGTGTGAATGTATAGAAAGGCTCAGAATTCAGCTGACTAAAGTTTAAAGAGACAGATGGCCTGGAGTTGTCATGAGGAAAAGGGTGATGAAAAAGACAAAGCCACAGGAAGTAGGAAAACGAAGTGTCATACGTGTCATTTCCTGAAAACTTTCACTTAACCTCAAGGCTCCCCCAATGGGAAGTTGGGCTGTTTCTTGACATAGGAGGGAAAGGTTTTGAGGGTATGGGAGAGACGTGAGTAGAGAAGAGACATCAGTATTTGAGTGCCTTCTTTTATAGACAGTGCCCGGGACACGTCCCGCAGTTGGTGGGTGCCAGATCCCCACTGTTAGTGGCAGTTAATCTGGAAAGATGCTACTGTTGCTGTTAGTTATTTCTTTCTTTCTCCAGCCCTTCCCTCAGGGGAGGAAACACAGACCTAGATGTTGAGTAGCTCGTGGGGTCACACAGGTTAGTGAGTGTATTCATGAGACTCACACCGCCCCCGCCCCCACCCCCCACCTTAGAGCATAATATCCTGGCTCAGTGCGGGAATGAGAAGGTTGTGCTGGGCATCTAAGTGATGTTCTTTAGCGACTGGTCCCAGACCTGAGTAGTGGGATGTGCAGGTAGCATCCAACCCCGCCCTTCTGGTCCCCCAGCTCATTGCGCTAGGAGAAGGGAATGGTGGGGGAGTGTCCTGGCCTTCCCCTGCCCAGAGGAGGCTGAGCCTCTGCGTGTCCTGACTCCTGCCCAGGAGCCGGCTGCCTTTCAGGCACGTGGGATGGGTGGGGTGAGGGGCAGGCAGGCCTTTCTAATCTTGGATGATGACCAGTGTGCTTGGTTCAGCTTAAACCTTTCTGAAAAGAGAATTCTCAAGATGGTTGGCAGGATGGCACCTTTTCTACCAAGGAGATCTACTTTCCTCGGAGAACCGATTCTGGCGGCAGAATCTTGACGTTCCTTTGCGGACTAGGTCATCTCTGGCATTGATTTCCTTACCACACTGCACGGGGTTGCAGTGCATGGTGATGAACTTATGCAAGAATTGCCAAAGGGCGAGGACCCTGCTTGCTTAGGGCCTGCCGTCACCGTCTTGGCAGATGGCTCCCTTCTTGCCAGGGCCGGGTTTTATTCCGGTTTATAGCTGGTGACACAGTGGCCAGGAGCATGGAATGCCACACTACACTTGAGCAGATGCGAGACAGAAAAACTGTGCTAACTTCACAGGTGTGGATGCTGGGGAGAGGGCTTTGGGGAGGATGGTCAAAGCAGTATAGTGAAAACAGCTGTTTTCTAAGCTGTTTTAGACCCGGCAAAAGGAAAATCGGGCAATTTATTGAAACGAAACGCTCTTGTCCCGAGTATAGAACATCTGTCTGTACCCTGCCCTCAGGAATGGACACTTTTGTCTGGCAGTGATCGGCGATCTCTGTCGAATTCTGTTATCTGTTGGGTGACCAATCCCCCCAGAACTTTGTGCCTAAAACAATAATGATTTAGTATTTCTCACGAACCCTTGGGTTGACCTGGAGTTTTCCTTCAGGTCTCGCTTGGACTCACTCATTGCCCGTGGTCAGCAGGAGAGCTGCTGGCCTAAGGTCAGCTAGGACGCTGGGCGTCGCTCTCCGTGTCTGCAGTTGGCCCGCTGGGTGGCTAGGGCCTGGGTTCCTCTCCACAGTTCCTCTCCAGCAGCTAGCTCAGGCCTCCTCAGGTGTTGATGGAGGTGAAAGCTGCAGGGCCTCAGGCTTAACCTCGTAAATAGCATAGTGTCTATCCCAGGGCCAGCCCAGATTCGAAGGGAGCAGCAGGCAAAGTTGAATAGGGGCCTGGGCTTGAGGATGGGTTATTTATTAAAGCCCTTGTTGTAACGGTCTCCCGGCTGGCCTTCTGGTCCCAAGGATTTCTGTCCCTCCGAGCTTCCCGCCCTTCCCTCCGGGTACAGCAGTGGCCTTCAAGTCTGCGCCCGCCTGCCCCGGGTCAGGGCTGGATGTGGACGGGGCGCATTGCAGCTTCTTGGGGGTGGTGGCTTCAGTTGATTCAGAGAGCCGTGAATTGAAAAGACACACCCCACACCCCATGGAGAGACGAGGTAGATGATCGTGTTCAGAGAGGGGGCAGAGAGGCAGTTAGTAAATGGTCCACAGCAGTTCTGCTGTCCGGCTGTGCCGTCAGGGCCTGTGCCGGGGCAGCATCCTGCTTCTAGCATCCTTTTTTGTACCAGTTCTCGACTGGGGTACAGTAACACACCAACCAGAACTTGATGGTTTAAGACAGATTCTGTGGATTGACGGGGATTTTGGCTGGGCGCTCCCTTGAGGCTGCTCTCCTGTGCCGGCGTTCAGGCTGGGTGGCCTAGGCTGGCCGCATGCACGTCCTGGGCCTCAGCGGGGATCCATGCAGTGGCTGCGATGGACCTCCCGCCGCACGCTCACTCCCAGCCTCCCCAGCCCTTTGAGGCCTCGGCTCAGAAGTCACCACCTTCTGTGGGTTAAAACATGTGACAAGACCAGCCCACATTCAAGGGATGGGGACATAAGACTATTCCTTTCTTGTTGGAGGAGTGCTGAAAGGGTGTGGATACAGGTGGGATTCATTGGCCATTATTTTTGTAACAATCTCCCACACTCTCATCCCTGGCATGGTAGGGGTTTGGATACATTCTTGTTGGCTTTGTTTTAATTAACTCCCAAAAAGGAACACCACTGTTTTTCTCAGTATGGGGGTGGGGCAGTCAGTGCAGGGAGGTCAGGTCAGCTGACCTAAAACAAGCCTCATTTCAGTGGCACATTACCTAGTCAGGGCTGCCTTGCTTCTCCCCCCGGGTCTGCTAAGCAGTGGTTCTCAAAGCGTGGTCCCCACACCAGCAGCACCTGCACCACCTGGGCGCTGATACTTGGCTCCCCCGCAGATGCACTGCCGCAGGCCTGGGTGGGTGGGTGGGTGGGGGGCGGGTCTGATAAACCCTCCAGGTGATTCTGATGCACCTGAGAGTTGAGAATCACTGCTAATGGGAGTTCAGGTGGCTCTGACTTCCTCTTCCTTAACCCTTCCAACCAGTTCCCCCCACCCAGGCGCTCTGTCTCCCTGAGTCAGCGTGTTCTTTGGGTCAGTGTGAGGCTGTGGTTTTCTTACTGCTCAGGGGACACCTGGGGACCGTCAGTGGTGTGCCCAGGCACACAGGTGGAGAGGAGAGCAAAATGTGGTTCCCGAATGCCCTCAGCGTGGCGCGTGGCGCGTGGCGCGTGGCAAGGGAGGCTGTGTGCGTGGAGGATGGCCAGTTCCGAGGCAGAGGTGACACATTCGGTGTGTACAGGCGGAGCTTGCCGCGTCCAGGCCGAGGAGGTATCAGCAAAGCAGCGAGTGGATCCTGGGAGTTAAAGCTCAAAGGACTGCACCAGCAGTTTGGAAGTTACCACATACCCTGTAATTTAGAAGTTTGTTTGCAAAGGTGCCTGTTCAGTGGGGGTCTTTTGAAAATATGGATTACACGACCGCATCCTCCCCCCACCCTTTATGACCAGGCAAGTGTTTTGGGACCTCTGAGTATCCCGGGTGATTCTTCAGTAGCCAGGTTTGGGGAACAGGGTCCCAAACCCCGGGAAGAAGGAGAGAAAGACAGGAGGTCAAGTCTGGAGCCTCGGGGTGGCTGCCCTTGATGGCGGCCACCGGGCGGGTCTGCGCCTGAAGACTCTTCTGGCACCAGGGAGACTGGAAGAGGACAAGTGGGGAGTAGCGTCGTAGATGCCGGTGGGGCCGACCTCGTGGAGGATCCGACGCCAGAGCGGGGGCCAGACTGTGATGGTGGGGACCTTGTGGGGGGGGGGACGTTGGGGAGGAGTGAGCGGGGAGGGCGACCTGCAGCAGGTGGTGGTGGTTTTTCAATGGGAGACACCCCAGCTTGGTGCCCAGGGCAGAGACAGGCGGGAGGGGCGCGTGGAGAAGGGGGTCGGGGGTGAAGCCGCGTCCTGGGGGCGGGCAGGGTGGTTTTGAAGCTTCTGGGATTGGCCTTGAGAAGGAGGGTCAGCCTTCCTCACCCCGGAGGGGAGGACAGAAGGGAAAGGGCGTGAGAACGGGAGAGGCTGTAGCTGCTGGAAACGGACGCGGCCTCTCGTGTCCCCCTTTCCTGGTCACCCCATTTCTCACTTTTCTCACGTTTATGGGTGAGACCTGTGAGCTTTCACGTTGTTCACTGTGCCGTCTCACGCGGGGCCTCTGTGGTGTCCGTTCGTGCCTGTGTCACTGGGGTCCGTTGTTCACGTGGGAAGGGGTCTGGTGGGTGTCAGTTCTCCTCGGAAGCATCGCTGGCCACTCTGCGGGTTCACCTGGGACGGCAGGTTAGTGGGGCGCCCGGTTCGCCCACAAGGCTCGGTTAACCCGGTGCCGCCCAGATTGCCGTAGTTCTGTGCCTGTGACCCCTTACGTTCTGTGGGTCTCTCTTCCGTGTCTGGTGTGCTTCCTCCTTCAACCCTCCTCTTCCTCCCCGCTATTTCACAGGGAAGGTGTGTCTGTAGGGTGGGCGGCTCCCGGGCCTTCTGTTGCCCTGTGGGGCTGCAGCCTGAGCAGCTCCGCGTAGTGAGATGTGCAGCGTGCCTAGCTCTCCTCGCAAAGTGTTAGCGTCACCCCTCTCGCCTGCCTGGGGCTGACAGGTGCTGCCCATCGAGAACCCAGCAGCTCACACTTCTCTCTGGTCAGGGAGCTGTTGGGCTGGGTGTTGGAGTCCTTACAGCTGAAGCCTAGAAGTGTAGGCTGTGTGTGTTTTTCAGCTAATCACGTTGGTGGTTAAGAGCTTTTAGAAGCCATTTTCAAGGGTATGATGTTCACCTGACAAAAGAAAACAGGTTCCTTATTGTTTCCTGGGTCTGGTTAAAATACTTAGGCTAAGACAGTAGCTGTAAGTGAAGATGCGTGAGACTGTATTTGTTGGACATGGCCTCTTCTGAAACAATTAAGTGAGGACGTACATTTTTCCCCCCTGTTATATGAGGATGCTAGTTAACCTATGTTTTAGTATACACCTACCTGAATTAAGAGAGTTGAGGGGGGAGCATGGGGAGAACAGTAGAATTTTTGCTTAGACAAGAGTGATTTTTTTCAATAAGTCCGCATGTCTAAGTGTTCTGGTATTTATTTACTTTAATTATACAAAAGCTGGAGCCTTCCCCAGTTTTTATAATCTAGCTGGGTCATTGTTTTTGTTTGCACACTTGCCGTGTATCATAGTCTAATGTGCACATGCAGGTGAGATTTAGAAATCTTTGTGTCCTGAATGTGAAGGCCTGTGGTCACCGCAGCCTGATCCTTAAGTGAGGAAAACGTATCGGTCCTAGAAAGACGGTGGTTTGTATGTTATCAATACAGGGACGAAGCAGTCATAGCCCTGTGAGTCACTGAAGTTTCCCTTTTCCTTCTCTCCTACAGAACCTGAAAGCAGATCCAGAAGAGCTTTTTACCAAACTGGAGAAAATCGGGAAGGGCTCTTTTGGCGAGGTGTTCAAGGGCATTGACAATCGGACTCAGAAAGTGGTCGCCATAAAAATCATTGATCTGGAAGAGGCTGAAGATGAGATAGAGGACATACAGCAGGAGATCACAGTGCTGAGTCAGTGTGACAGTCCCTACGTAACCAAATATTATGGATCCTACCTGAAGGTAAGGCTTAAAGATGCAGACGCGGTTTTCCACCATGCAGCACCTGACTGAGACGCGAGCCTCGACGGGAAGGACTTTGATAAATAGCACAGCAGGTTTTCAGAGGAAGAAGTGTCCTGACCTTCGCAGTCAAAAGAACCTGTCTCTGATGGTTCTGTCATCTTAAATGTCACTGATAGAATGTATTTTTGGTGAAAAGTGTTCGATGTTGAAACTCCCTTTCAAACAAGAAAGTATTTCTGAGTGAGACTTTGTCATCAGAAGTGCATTTCTTAAGCTATTATAACGACAACTACTCATCACCTAATTTTAGCATGGTTTGTGATAAAAACTCAGGCCAACCTAAGACCTTATATTAGTCTTTTGATATTTTCAGTTATCAAATGTGTTTTAATTTAGTGCTGTTTTTTTTTTTTTAAACTGCTGAGAATTGAGAATGTTGATTAGTGAGCTGGTTTACCTACATTTGACTTTGAAGAATACTTGGTTAGTAAATAATTACTTAAACAAAGTAGTAGCTGTAATACAACACTGCAGTTGTTGTCCTCGATCTTCACGCAGTTCTTCAAGTGAGAAAGAATCGTCATAAAGACGGTTTCCCAGCCCTGCGTGGAAGCGTGTTGTACTCTACCACTAGAAGAGTTTAAGATCGTCCCTTATGTTTCAAGTTCCTTGACATATTCCCGTTCCACTGCACTTAGAAATGTCGTATCTTTCAAATGGGGTTTTGGAAATCTTAAGAATTGGTGAAGAAATTTCTGAATTCTCTGAAAGCTTCACAGGTAGAAAGAACTTTTTCCTAAGGGAGGCAGCAATAGGCCTGGATAATGTAGGACTAGGCCTCTTCCTGCCCTGGGTCCATCCTCTGAGTTCTCCATGTCGTAGCCTTCCACGCGTTCTGGTGTCAGAGGGCTGGTGCAGGCTTTGATTTCGTGGAAATGTAATAATAAGGTGTAAGTGGGAGGGTGGAATATTTGAGAACTGTTGATTTACTAAAATGAATATTTAAAGGAAATAAAAATTGGACGGTAATTCTATGTTTTTTTCGATTGCCTAAAGAATGGCAGTACGTCAGAGGTCAAATGCAGCATTTTGAAAGGGGAAGGATAAGTTTCGGAGTCAGCTGTCCTGGACTTTGAGTTTTTTAAAACTTCTTTACTTCCTCATTTGTAAAATGGAAAATTATGGTGTACACCTCGTTGTTGCAAAGATTAAATGGAACTGAGTATGTGAAAGTACCTGGCATGTAGTGGGTACTTAGGGAGTGTTAATTTCCTTCCTTAATGGATTGGGTTTATTTATTCACATTTATCTCCGACATTGCCTTGTAGTGGAGGACGTGTCCACTGAGGTGGAAGCAAGGAGGAGAGAGGGTAGCCCATGGTAGCCATGAGTGTTACTGTGGGGCGGGGAGCATGCAGCTTGGGTCTTGACCAGGCAGAGAGGGGAGCACGGTAAGCTTTGTCGTATTCACGATCCAAGAGGAGAGCACCTGTGACTTGCATAGGGAAAGCAGAGGTCTTCTTTATGTTAAACTTCTGTTGAGGAAAAACTCAACAGCTGAAGAGACTCCACTTGAACTCTGTCTACTGCATCAGTTGTCCATTGTGAAATGACGTCAGAATAGTTGCACAGTGAATTCAGAGTTAGGTTTCATGTGGTATGTTGGATTTTAATATGAATTATGGTAGTTTCGGCAAAGGAAGTGTGGAAGATCCTCACAGATTCTTGTTGACGTACACCAGCTAATATCTGACTGCCGCGGAAGTTCAGGATCAGTGGTTCTCAGGTGTCTCCTTCAGCCTGGGCTCCTCAGCAGAATTTTTTACTGCACGGCGAGGTGATTGCTTTATTGTGGCCAAACGTGGTGTCACCTTGACTGAACGTATCTAGAGATTCCATCTGGTATGTCCTGTCTTCCCTGAGTTACTAACTTCAAGTCAATCTGACCTTGTTCTGTAGTGGGCCAGTGAATTTATTTAGTTAACCTAATGTCAGTTGCTGGAATAAACACCCTAGGTTTTTAGTGGCTCAATATGATAGAAGTTTATTTCTTGCTCACTCATAGCCCTGATCCATGGGTGGTTTTCCTCCAAGCAGTTACTCAGGAACCTAGGTTCCTTCTGTCTTGCGGCTCTTCCTTCCTTCCTCCACACGTGGGTGTGCTCGGCTGCCTTCAGTCAGCTTGGGGGCGAAAATGGAGGCCCCTGAGGGGAGCTCTCGCATACCCAGGCCAGGACACAGGGCCCCTTGTTTCTGCTCACAACCCCCCGCCAGGCTCGGCCACGTGGCCACATCTAATCAGGAGGGGCCGGGAACTGCCGTCTAATCGTGCGCGCTGCGCAGCAGAGCAGACAGGCTTGGTGCTGAGCTAGACGGTCCTTCCCAAGGCCACTTTCTCTGCACGAGAGGGGTGGAGTGACCGCGGGGGTGACTTTCTCCACTGACTGTCCTCAGGTGGGATGAAGAGCTGTGATAATTTTGTCTGTAGTGCTTTATGTATTTTACCAGGCAGATTGTCCTTCAGAAAATGTAACTGCCTCAGGAAT